GGAGGAGGCGGGGTCTAGGAGGACGTCGGGAGGGGGCGGGCTCTGCCTGGAGCTTCGACAATGGTGACTGCTGAGTGGCGCATGGACCTCCCCGGGAGATGATGCTGTGTGAAACTATATACCACGCACACTCACAGCCACACGCATGTACACACCCCAGCACTTAGTGAAATTAGGACAGCTGAGTATGGTCAGTGGATCGTATCAATATCAGTGTCCCAGTTCAGACACAGAATCTTCAAAGTCAATGTATCTACAGTGTTCTTATTTTTATTTAGTCATACTTTTGGAAGGATGAGAAGCCTTAGGTTTAATTTGTACACAAACCTTAGCTTTTCTGCAGATTACTAGAGAGTTTAAGCTATTGATCATCTCTTTAGGATTTTAAAAAGGGGCTTAGGTGGGTGGGAGGGAGTTGGGGGTGGTTGTAAAAGTGCAGTTCCAAGGGGGCTGGGGATTTAGCTCAGTGGTTTCGCCACCTGCTGCGCAAGTGCAGGGACCCGAGTTCGATCCCTGGTACCAAAAAAAAAAAAAAAAGTGCAGCTCCATGTGGGAGGCCCAGGTTTGATCCCCAGCACTGAAAACCCAAACAAAACATCAAACAACATCAACAAGAGCCTGGCATGGTGGCTGCAATCTCAGTGCTTGGGAGGCTGAGGCAGGAGGATGACTGCGAGTTTGAGGCCAGCCTGGGCTATGGAGCGAGAGCCTGTCTCAAAAACAGCAAACAACAATAAGAACCACAACATGGAGGGACGCTCGTAGTGTGGGAAGTGTGCAGTGTCTTGACCTTGGGGTGGAGACACATTCCTGCACACAACATGATGCATCCGCAGACACAGGTGATTCCAAGGGGAGAAGCTGAAAGGTCTGAGATCTATCAGTGTCCCCAGTGTCCTGCTTGTGATATTTTCTATAAATCTGCAGTCTGTTACCATGGGGGAAAACTGAACTCAGCATTCAAGGGCTATTATTTCTTACAAGTGCACGTGAAACTACAATTTTCTCCATAAAAATTTCAATTACAAAATTAAGAGAATAAAAGAATCATGGATGTAAGGGGTTTACCTCTCACTCAAAGTAGTAAATAAAATTCAGCACTGGTAAACTGTGATAAATTGTGCACGTGTGTTATATCACCTAGAGAAACCATAAAAAAAACTATACAGAGGGCCGGGGATTTAGCTCAGTGGTTTCACTGCCTGCTGTGCAAGTGCAAGGACCCGAATTCAATCCCTGGTACCAAAAAAAAAAAAAAAACTATACGGAGGAATATGCTCCAAAACATAAAGAAATACAAATATAATTCTAGTGATGGTCAAATGAGCCACAAGAAGGCAAGAAAAGAGAAACAGAAATGAGAAAGAGAAGGAACAACTGATAAACAAACAATAAAATAGCAGGCTTAAAAGCACACATTGATAATCACTTCAAATATACTTGTCCAAATACACAAATCAAAAGGCAAAGATTGGCAGGAAAAATTTAATTGTCAGTTATGGTTTAAATAGTTATCACCGTAACTCATACTGTTTACACATTTTCAAGAAAACATGTTACAATGTAACATGAGTACACAGGAAAAAGTGACTGAACAGAATCAGTTCTGACACTGGCTACACTGGAAGTATTTGTGAGTAATATAGGAAATATAAGACAGTATGCATGCCCTGAACTGTGCACTGTGATAAGACAATAATATCTTATGTGATACAACAGTTAAAGCAAAATGGACTGTGTTAGTTACTTTTCTCTCATTGCTGAGACAAAATACCCTACACCCAAAGCTAAAGGGGGAAAGGTTTATTTGGCTCAGTTTGTAGAGGTTTCGGTTCATAATCAGCTGGTTCCAAGGCAGGGTGGCACAGCAGAGGGGCATCACAGAAGAGAAACAGTCCATGGCAGGCAGAAGGCTGCAAAGCAAGCAAGAGACAAGACAAGCCTCTTTCGGCCCCTCATATTATATCCAGGCTACTGGGATTAGGGCGGTGCCAAACTGATCAGTGGACTTTAGTGATCACCCACCCTTAATCCTAGCATTGCACATGAATCAGTCACACACTGTAGATCCAGCCACCTCTGAAACAGCCCTGCCCATAACTGCATGAGGCTTCCGGGGACATCTAGACATAGCCTTGACATGTACATTCACCAAAATACTGCTTCAGTTTTAAATTAAGTCAAAATTCAATTTCTTCATCTTATTAGCCATATTTCCCTCCCCCCAAGTTGTAAATACTAGTCTTTCTTTTTTTCCCTACCCCAAAGATCATTCCTGGGCAGTGAGGCCTCAGGCTGGAACAGAGCCTGGCCTGCTGAGGGACAGAGGGGGCAAAGCAGGCCACACCCCACCCATCTGTCAGCAAAGCCCCAGAGGGGGCCCCAGGGTCTTGGGCAGTGGCAGGTCCTCCCCCTGTTCAGCAGTCACCTCCCACCCGGTGGGCGACCAGGGGACACATGGCTACCACCCCAGCGAAAACAAGCAGCTGCCTCTCTTCCTCGGAAGTTGTCACCACAGCCTTAGACGGGAGGGTCCCTGACATCGACTTCGGTTTGGGGCTGGTGGCAGGGCCTGGGTGAGATGTGCTGGTGCAGCCAGGACAGCACCTGTGATCCGTCCTTCCCTGCTGAATCCCCCACCCCACCCCAGGGAGTCTCTGGGCCCAGGGGCCGGCAGTGGGCCTGAGTCCTTGCCCGCTTCTGCTGTGTGCACTGGGGAACTCACCTCCCCTCTCTGTGCCTTTACTTCCTCACCTTCTAAGTGGGGTTAGAGCCCGCCCAGGGCTCACAGGAGAAAATCTCCAGGACCAAGAGGGGCTTTGGGGAACATGTGGGGCCTCAGCAGGATCCTGCTAGGCAGGTTGGGCCACGTGTTTTCTTTTTCCCAGAGGAGAAGATGAGGCTCGGAGCCCAGCCCCCTGCCAGGCTGGCCCTTGACCTCCCCTCCTGCAGCCTGCACTGGGCCGCGCAGGGCCTAGGGAAGCTGCTGGCACAGACCTGGTCAGGCCGGCCCAGCTTCCGGTCCCGGAAGCACTGGAGAGGCCTGGCCTGCACTGCTGCCTCAGTTTCCCTCCCGAGGCCCCAACTGCAGACCAGCATAGGGCCGCCCAGCCCCTGGCTGAACGCCTGCTGTCTCCTAGCCACATTCTTCATGTTCAGTAGCTATAGACCCAGCCACACATAGAAACTCTGTGTAGGAAAAACAACGAAAGTAACTTTTTAATAAATAAGAACAGGGAAAGGTCATGATTAGGCAATTCAAAGAAAAAGACACTCACTAATAAGTTGAAAGTTGATTACAATTCACTTTGGTTCTTAAAACTTTTGCCCAGAAATAACATAAACCAACCGGACTCCCATTTGCTTAGCCAGAGTCTCTTGGCTACTCCTGGCTTCCAAGGGGAAATAAGCCCCGGTGTGCCGAGGACAGCACGGGAGGTTTTGGTGGATGGGGCTACTGCTCCTACAGAGGCCACCGGCGGGACCCTCGGTGTGAACTGGGGAGCGGGAAGCAGCCCACCTGGCCCTCAGGGCGAATGGCACTTTGGTTACCTGTAGCTGTCGTCACACAGAGTGTAACTTGCGGCTCAGTGTCCTAGGGTTTTGGCTTTCTTGTCACAAGTCATCACCTCTGCCTCCCTGAGGAAGACTCGAGGCTTCGTTTCCCTTGTTCTGTGGCCAGGTGAGTAGGTCCTCTGGGGCCACCCCTCCACGAGGTTTCCTGCCTCCAAGGCCCTTTAGCTCCTTTACCACGGTGCTGCGCTGGCCTTTGGCCTCAGGGTCCTGTTCCTGGTTAAGCCTGCCAAGGGAGGCTGCCTGTCAAGTTGTTCACTGACACAGAGGGAGAAGAGAAGTCCAAAAGTAGGAAGGACTAAAAGGTCAAGAGAGAAAGAAAAGCAAGAGAGAGCTAGAGAGGCGATGGAAATGAGTGAGAGAATGTGCTAGGTTACTTGAGAGAGCTTTCATTTTCCCACCCGCAGGATGGGGATGGAACCCAGGGCCTTCACCCTGAGCTGTTTATTTTGAGGCTGCTGGGGCTGGCCTCGAACTTGTGGTCCACCGGGCAGCTCCTCTCCTCAGCCCCACGGCGTTTCTCCCGACTTACTCTCGGCTTTCTATGCTGTTTCCTCCGGTGCTCCTTGGAACAGCTGTTGGGCTGCCTGGCCAACCTTCCAGTCCTCTCCTCTTCCATCTTTCTCCTCTTGTCTTTGCTGCTGTACTTTCTCAGATCTTTCTTGGATTTAATCTTCCAACTCTTCTGTTGAATTTTTCATTTCAGCTGTATTTTTTTACCATTCAAGAGTGCTTCTTATTCTTTGCATTTCCCTTTTATAGAGTACCATGTTCTGTTTTTTACAAAGGAAATCTTTTCTTTGATTTCTCTGAGGACATTAATACTAATCTTCTGAAGTTTTCTTCTCAGTATATACATTGCTTCCTCCAAGATGCTTTCTTCTATTTATGGGTTCAGTCTTTATCTTAGATGCTAGTGGTCTTCTTCATATATCTGGCCCTCTTTTCTTATATATTCATGGTTAAGAGGCAGGGATTGAAACATAATTGACTGCCAAGAGGACGGTGGGCTGACTGACCTTGAAGGCCACCGTCAAGTGACCCGGATAGACTGCTTGTTGGGAAATTCCTGGTGTCAGCATTTGAAAGTCTTTCCTCTGGAGTTATATTTCTTTCTTTTCTTTCTTTTTTTTCAGTAGTAGGGATTTTGCAGTACTAGGGACAAGAATCTGACCAGTGGATGTTTTGTTTTGTATTTTTGAGGTAGGGGCTCACTGTATAGTTCTGGCTGGCCTTGAACTCACTACATAGCCCAGGCTGGCCTCCAACTCACAGTGGTCCTCCTGCCTCAGCTTCTTGAGTCTGAGCTATACATTCAGTAAAAAGGAACCTTCCCATCTCCTTCCTGAAGGGAAAGAGTCAGGCTTCTGCCCTTCTGGAAGCCAAGTGGAGGAAAGAAATGGATGTTGTTAGCACTTTGCATTCAAGTTGCACTCAGCCGTGAGTCTGTGTTCCGTAGGCAATGTAGGCACCTCGCACCCTGCAGCCCACGGCCTTCTGTTAGGGTGCCCAGACCCCATCCTCCCCAGGAAAGGCCGGCCCAGCAGTGAGTGGGAGACAGACCCGCTCAGTGAGGCAGCTCCCCAGCCCCAAGTTTAGCCTCTTCGAGCCCGAGGCTCCCTGTGCACCGTTGCAGGGTGTGGGGCTGCTGCACGTCAGTCTGCTTTCCAGATTCTGGAATTCCATTGCTCATGTATTTGATTGTGTTCCCTTTCATGTGGGTTTGTGTATTTTAAAGAAAAGCTCTTTGCTCAAATTTTAGCGGGATTTTGCAGAGGAGCAAAATTGGATGTGCAGTATAGAATCCTCTCTTAACCCACTTTCTCTTTTTGACCCTTTAAAAATGAACAAGGATGCAGGCTCCAGATATAGAGCAAAGAAAGGGCTCTTGTGTCTCCTTTATTCTCTATCCTTGATGATGAGAAACAATATTTAGGTCGAGCAAGTGTTCTTAAAAACCTGTCCGTGCTTTTGAGAAAAAAAATCATTTTGAAAGTTTTGAACAGTTTGGTCCTGGGAGTCGCTTTTCCACAACCCATGGCTGAACTTTGTGGACACAGAGGCTGGAAACATAAAGGACAGGAGTCACTGTATTATCTCTCCTGGGCCAGAAATACAGGTTCAAGCTGTTCTGTCTCATGTGAGGGAAGTGGAAAGCCCAGGTTTTCCCTTCTAAACACATCAGACAACAAGCCAGCTTAATTTAGAACAAGAAATTTTTCTGAGATCACTCATTACACAGTTATGCACATATTATGTATTAGAATATACTGTAGATAAATTGTCTTATAAGAAAAGTACACTCAGGAATTACTGTGAAGTATGATAAATAATAAACAGAAAATCAAACAATTTTCAGTTAAAAACGAGAACAAGAAATTACTGATTGTATTACAAGAGTTATGGATACTTCAAAACTATATAATGGGGATTTTGGCAAGGGTGTCTGAGAGCGAGCCTAATCAATGTTCGTTCACCATTTATTCATTTACTCATTTTCTCATTCACTCGCTCATGTCATGTTTCTTGATTCCCAGTGGGTATGGGCCTTGCACTGGTTATTGCAGCTTTGCCTGTGAAGAAGAGAAGCACTGTTCTGCCATCTTGGAGTTTGTACTCTGGGGCAGGGACAATATGGAGTGGATAATGACATGATTTGCTGTGGTAAAAATATAAAACAGAGGTACTTGCATCCAGCTGAGGTGTAATGTTTGAGCAGAGATCTGAGAGGAATAGAAGGGAAGGATGGGAGGAGAGAGAGATAAAGAGGAGAAGAGAAAGAGGGAGAAGAGAGAAGAAGGAGGGGGAGAGAGGAACAGAGACACACACACACACACACACACACACACACACACACACGGAGAGGAAGACCGGGAGGGAGAGGTGGCAGGGCTGAGAGAAGCGGGGTAGAGAGAGAAAGTGAGAGAGAATGGGCAGGAAGCAAAATCCACACCATGATCACCATGACACTCCCCCAAAAAGAAAAGGAACTTTACCTCAGAAACACCTGGCAAAGGAATCTACTTGTCCACCTGGCCCCCTCCTTCAATATGACAACATATTTCAATGAAAGCATTTTCCTGAGGGCACGTTTTCCAGAAGTACATACGTATTTTTAATGGTACTGGAAAACAAGAACAAGATCTGCCAAGAGTCTCCAACACTGGCTATTGTGTTATTTGATAATGTATTTATCCCCTCTCCCCAGTCTTTCTGTTTTATTTTATTGTAATTACAATTCAGTATTTAAAAGATAAAGCTTTTTTTTTTTTAACATTCACTGTTGCTCAATAGCTGAATGCCTGTGTTGTCCTAGATCATGAGGTTAGTGGTGCTTTCTTTCAATATTAAATAAAAGGATTCATTTTCATTGAAGCAAGTAGGGAATTACGCTTACAACTTCAATTACCAATAATTAATTCCCCACACTGCAAGCCATGCAGTTTGCATTTAAACTCCCAATGCCCACAGGATAAGCAAAGTCTATTTTGATCACTTTTTATTTTCATCATTTAAGCAGTACATCTTATTTCAATTACACACATGTATTTCCAGATTATAAGAGAGAACAAATACTCCTTTTAAAAAGCCAGGGAGTTAGGAGGGGGAGATTCTGAAAGCTCAACAAAGACATTTCTGAGATCCTTTCTTTCTCTTGCTTTTGTTGAAGGCACACCTAAACTGTAGAATTAGCTACTTCACACGTGTGGCTATTCCTTACAAGCAGATGGGTAATTTCCTTAATTTGTTTTTCCTTATGCATTAAGCTATTCTTTGCTGGCTTTTCACTACCTGAGAAAAAGAAATCAATTGATCACATGATTTCGAACCAGGCAAAACTGAGTCCTTGGCCAGTGGCAGCCCCAGCGACTCTGTCAGGAGGAATTGGGATCAGAAAGACCATTTGGTTCGGAGGGGAGGCTGGACCTGGAACATATTGGAGAGATGGAGCTCTTCTGGATGCTCCAGTCTTCTGACAAATTCTGAGCAACAGAAAGAAGCCATCAGCATGTCACCAAAGCCCAGTCACAATCAGACCTGGGGCTTTTAGAGATAAAAAGCAGCGCTTGGAATTAGGTTTCACCAGAAACAGGCAGCCATGGTGTGGCATGCAGAAAATAAATTCTAAGAAGATCTATCTTTCACGTTTGAAAGACATTAGGTTTCTTCAGCCTGGAAGTGTTCACTTTGCCACCAAATAAATCCTTCATATCAGAACTGACTGTGTTGTAGAGAAGTCTCATTTAAGTGGAGCTCAGTTAAATGAAACCATAAATTAACCAGAATTAGCTTCTATACTTGGCTTTCAAGGAAAAGGGGAAAATAATTTTTAAAATGTGATATCAATCACTTAATAAAATGTTACAGCTACAAAAGCAAATTGCCAGCTGTAGCATGTTCAAACATGTCCAAGTCATGATCCCAGTACCCTACAAAATCTTCCATCAGGTAGGAACACAGACACACACACACACACACACACACACACACACACACACACACAAAGGGAAAAAAGAGAGAGAATTAAATTAGGTTCAGCATGTTGTACTTCCCTTTATAAGAAAAATAAAAAAACCAAAGCTGACATATATACATATACATATTTATATATTATTATTATTATTATTATTTGTACCGGGGATCAAACTTAGGACCTTGTGCTTGCGAGGCAGGCGGCCAATATATTTTTAAATGATTTAACAAAGATTGATAACAAAAGTACTTTGTGGCTAATTTAATCTTAATGATTAAAAGATTTTAATAGCTATCCCACTTATTATTCTAGCATTCTAATCAATCTTCCAGCATTAAATAAAAATTTATATAACATTGAAAGAGATTGCTCTATGGAATCAAATTCAACCAAAGGTTTCCAAATGCAAGGAGAAGAGGGAAGCCTTTGCTGGTATTCACATACAAAGTGAAGAAACAGAAACAGACTTCATGCTTCTGAAGGCCAAGAGTCATGCTTAGATCATTTAAGCACAGAGGCCCGCCACTGCTTCTGCAAATACATGCTCGACATGTTGTTAGATGAGAATTTCCACTCTAGGAAATCAGATCTAAATAACATAAGCGATTTCTTTTCACAAAGCAAGCTTCAGAGAAAGCATTTTTTCTTAACAGAGTTTTTGCTAGTGAACCACTCTGATAAAGCAAAGATTTATTTTGCTTGGCAGTGAAGAGCCGTGATGTGCCTTCATTTCTTGATTCCAATCTTTTCAAGGTCAGACTCTCAACAGTGAAGACAAGTCACTTGAGCTCCACTCTCTCTGACTCCCTCCAACCCTTGGGCTCCTTGACCATGCTCTGTTGATGTTTTGAGCAAAGACAAGCAAACTCTATCCAGGAATTTTATTGTGATGCCATAAAAATGTAAGTTTCCAAGCACGGTGGACGTTATTAGCCTAGTGGATCACACAGCTCTGACAGCCAGCCCTGGGACAGGCAACCAAGGGGACAAAGGAAGGGCAGAGAGGAGGCTGGAACTGGCTCGAGAGCTAGGCTGGCCCGGAGCTGGGAGAAGGGAGCAGCAGAGCTCTGGCGAGGACGCGGCCGTTCCTACCTGGGAGGACGGAGGGGACACTCTCACTTTCCAAGATCTTCTAAGTGACAAATCCCCGAAGCAACAACCACCAGCTAAAAGCATCCGAAAGAACCCAGAATGGGCGGCCTGGCTTGCGGAGCACTGCGGCCTGTGCGGGTCCCGCTGGAAGCCCGAGGCCATCCCGGGGTTAACGAAGCGGTGGCATCGCACGGGCAACACCGACACCATGCATGGCCATGGTCTGTCGCCCAAGCAGGTTCGTGCTGTTTCTACCACAGCTGGTGATTTCGGCTCCCAACTCTGCTCCACGTTGCCAAAATATCGTTTTTGAGGTGTCACAGAGCAAGGGTGCAGCCTTCACTAGTGCGAGAGGGAAGAGTTAGCGGGTTTCTGAGGAAATCAATCTTGTAGCATCAAGCTCAGTTGAATTAAATAGATTTTTGGCATTTTGTTAACAGAGACCTGAAAACAAGTTTGAGTAGGAGATTAAAAAAATACAATGGCTCTTCACTTGTTTCCTCCCAGGTATTAAAATTTACCATCTTTCTTTTGACCATCATCATTTTCTAAGTTGCTGGTATTCCTGGGCAGGTTGAAGAATAAATCAAATAATTGGGGCATTTGATTCCTTGTTGAAAGTTTCTGAATGAGTTCGTGCTATACAAATTTCATCATTTCTTGAAACAGTTTACAGGTTCCTTCTTAACATGTGTTCTCTATACTGTGGCTTTTTCTTTGTTACTCTTGGGTGAACCCTGTTTCCTCTTGAATTCCAGTGAATCAATATGAAGAGCTGGGAGTGCACAGAGGGGTAGTATTGCCCACGATCACACAGCTAGTTAACAACATAACCCAAATCTGAATATTTGCTTATTTATTAGTTCAAGACTCTTTTCTGTTTCCAGGCTGTTACTACCATCTATATATAGTTGTGGTAGTTAAGATGGATATTTGCTCCTTAAAAATGGATTTTTAAAATGAGGAAATATCTCTTACCTCTTTCTCCAAGGTCTTTAGTACAAGGATAAGCCCTAATGAGGTGCTTTGCTCGGCAGCTGATGATTTTTATTGGGTTCCCTCCTTCCTTTATGCTCCCTTGTTGGTTAACAGTCCCTCTAAGTATTAAACGTCATCTCCCAAATCTGCAACAAATATGATAAAAAGAATGAAAAATAAAATTTATGAAGAATGAGGGATGACCTTTATTCCAAAAGTCATGGGAAGAATGTTTTACTTCTCCCCATTGTCAAAAAGAAGGACTTTCAAGGAAGAGCTTTAAAAATTTAAGCTGCAAACAAATCTATACTAAAAAATGACAGAACTCACATGGCTGGTGGCGGTGGCCGTGTCTGTTGTCCCAGCTCCTGGGAGGCTGAGCATGAGCGAGCTGGAGCCCCAGAGTGTCAGGCCACCCTGGGCAACACAGCAGGTCCCTGGGTCTTAACCACCACCACCACCACCACAGCAACTATAGCAATAACACACCTGTGCCCTGCTGCAGGTGTAGAGGGAACTCGGGGCAAGGAGGAACGGCTGCGTTGGAGGGCAAATGGTGAGACTCGATGCAGCAGCTCCCTCTGCGGCCGAAGAGAGACTGTGCCTCCCCATCCGGACAGCTGCAGAAGGTGTTGAAAGAAGGAAATTTCAGGGCCACCCAGGGCAGTTGCGACTATGCTCATTTTAAACCTAAATTGAGACCTGTTCTCTGCACAGAGTATCTCAGATGCCTAGTGTGACAAGCTATGACTTTAGCTTTTTATCTTTAATTAGAGAGGGTCATAGGCCACATAACGCCAATTTTTATTACAACAGAGGTCTGAAGAGATCAAGTGACTTAAAATTTATGCAAGTCATGAAGCTTGCTAGTCTCTGAAGCCAGGCTGGAGCTCACAGGTTGCACCTGTGCATTCCTGAGCACCTCTCGCCTACCGTGCAACCACTGGGCTGACCACTGTAGCTCCCAAGACGGACTGTCACTCCTCTCTGTGGTTGCAGAACGGTATCCCCACACAATGGCTCTGCCCCAAGCCCTGGAGCCTGCGGATGTGTTTCAGTACTTGAGGAGGAACCAGGTTCGCTCCCAAAGGTGTGGAAATGTGGAAGAAGGAAGTAGAGGAGGCAGTGGGGAAGTGATGTGCTGTGAGAGACAGAAAGCCTGGCCTTGGGGAAGTGCCGAGGGATGCGCCAACCTGAGAGCCAGGAAAGGAAAGGAACCGGAGTCCCCTACCTCTCCGGAGAGGAAGAGCCCACCAACACCCTGATTCTAGCCTGGCGAGACCCATTTCACACTTCTGACCTCTAGCACCGTGAGATAATACATCTGTTGAAATATGCAACAGCAGCAATCGAACCAACATACCTCTGAAGAGTATTTGAAAATTAACACATGATCACAAAACTCCATAATACATCCTACTATTTTCAGAGCTATCTAGTATGGCTCTTAGGGTTGATCTTTTACAAGTTGTAGCAATAAAAACAGCAGCAAACATCAGTACGATTCCTATCGTTCTTCAGAGGCAGTGGCGCCCTGGAACTCGGCAGGATGTACGAGGTTCTGTTTCGGCCTTACCTGGGGCCCAGAGAAGCCACGCACCTGGCCCACGGCCCCAGAGCTGGGAAGTCACAGAGCCCAGGCTGAGCTGAGGGCCTGGCCCCAGACATGCACTCTGAATGCTGCAGTGCTGCGCTTCGTCTCCACACGGGAGTGGCCAAAGATGCAGCGTCCAAGCAGACACGTGACCTTCCCTGTGACCCAGAGCTAAACAAAGGTGCTATGGACACACCTTCTGCCTAGTTTATAGGTTTTCCTCTGAAATAGTTTTAGCTTTCCTGTAAGCTTCTCATATTGGTACTTAAGCTTACTCTCTCTTCTTAGCACTGACAGCTTTCGTACGTAGATGGCCAAGAATTCTGTAACTGACAGATACCAGCTGTGCAAAGCTCAGCAGGTTGCCACTTTCCAGCTCACTGGTCTGTGCACCTAGGCCCCTCTTCCCCACCTCGGGTCACAGGCCCAGCCACCGGTCTCCATGACAACTTAGCTGCTTGCTAACAGCTCTGACAATAGCAGGCGTTTGTCCATGGCGGCCCACCGTGGATTTTTTCCATTTTATTTTTTATTTTTGGTACTGGGGATCGAACTCGGGTCCTTGTGCTTGTGGGGCAGGCGATGGAACCCCCGAGCTAAATCCCCGGCCCTCCATTTTATTTTTAAATGAAACTCAATCTCTGTAGTCCTATGATGCTTTATATTTAGTCACCATTTTCTTTTCAGTCTTCATTTCCAACATAGGTTTCTGAGATTTATCAGCGTGACTCGTTCATGCTGTCACAAACGCTGGCTTAGGTTTTGGGCCAGTCTCTCTGCACAGCCAAGCACAAGGAAGAGCGGAAACCAGTCCCTCGTCTTCAGGCTTCCTTCCTTCCCCGCGCAATGCCCTCTGTTTGTGATGCGCCCAGGAGTGGGGACGGTTAGCAGGGTGACAGGCAGCAGGAACAGCTCAGCGCGCTTCTGAGGAGCTTTGGTGGCCGTTAAGGGCTCATTTGTCGCCGGAGGTGACTGTGGTGTGAGCGGGTGTTGCGCCTGCCGGACCTCAGTGCTGCCCGGGCGGTGCGCTTGTGTGGGAGTGGGCCGTGGCCCCGTCCGCGTCAGGGTCGTCGTTCTCTGCCTCTTAGGAGTTGTCATGAATAAACAGTTTAAAACTACACAAAATCACACCGAGGATACTGTGTGATTTTCTAAAATACAGCTTAAAGTGAAAGGAATTAGGATGAAATTAAGTAAACGTTTTGGACTTCGAATAATACTCACACCTTGAAGGATTGTTAGATAATGGAAAAAGTCACTTTTTTGGGATTCAATTTATTTGAGGGGGGTGGATTTCTGGGGAGCACACCCAGGCATCGAGCTCCACCGCTGAGCTGCAACCCCGGCCCTGGTGGAAACGTTCGTGTGTAAAATACTAGCTTCTTAATTCCTTTGTCTATAAAGTCTTCTGCAAGGCGACTGTCGACACCGAGCTTGGGGGTGGGGGGGCGTGTGGCTCGGCGGGAGAGCGTTCACCTATCGGCCCGAGGCCCTGGGCCAGCCCCCCGCCCGGCAAAGCAAAAAGTCAGACACCGAATTTATTTAACCCTCACCCCAACCTAAAGGTAGGAATTGAGACCCCTCCTGTGCAGAAGAGAAGACTGGGGCCCCTTGTCTTGCACAGGCAGGCAGATGCGGGCCAGGGAGGCTTGAAGAGGCCGCAGAAGCACTTTGGGCAGGACCAGGGGAGGGTCACGCTCTGGGCAGGAAATGGGCGGGCGGGCGGGCGGACGGCTTCCGAGTGTCCCCTCAGCCCCGAGACGAAACGGCACCCATCCCGCGCTGTCCTCGTTCCGGAGAGGAAGAGCCGCGAGAGCGGTGGGACTGTTGAGGGAGCCTCTGGCGTCACCCTCCCAGCCCTGCTCAGGCGGAGCGCCCAGGCCCTGCTTCCATCTCCTTCTAGGTCGTCCCGCAGGGCTCAATCCCATCTTCTCCGCCTTGCCTGCCACTCCTGTGCTGTCTTGCTCTGGGCTTGTGATAGTCAACAGAAGCGCAAGTCAAGCTGTGAGGTTTACCCGAGTTTTCTGCGATTTCGCCTCAATTTTCCGCTTCATGGGTGCTTTGGAGACCAGCAGCTCAGTGGGTGGACTTCCTTGTGCACCCAAGGTCTTGGGAGAAAGTTGAGAACCGGCAAGGGCTCAGGAAGCCACACGTGAGACATCCCTTCAGAGGCCACTGAGGTGCTCTGGTGGGGCTCTGCGTGGGTTCAAGTGTTCAAAAACACACGGCTTTAGAAATACTCGCGGTTTCAGCCTCGCGCCGGCTCCTCGGGTGCTTCTGAACACACTGGCTTGGGTCACAGGGGCCAGGAAGTGAAAAACTGGGTTATGTCTAATTCGATTCACTCCGGCTTCCTGGATGAAAGTTAAGTTAAAGTTACAGCGTTGGGCATTTTAACAGCCAGGCAAGGAGGAAAGAAAGTAATTCCAGAACTCAGGGCATGGGCCGGAACCGTGAATCCAAGTCCCTCGGAGGGACGCTCGAGGCATAGGTGATTAACATCGCGCCATGGGAGTGGCTGCTGGTCACTTGCTGTCCCCTGGCTGGGATGGCACAGATTCCTGTTATTACACAGACGCTATTCTCATTATTCAGCCTGGACACCAGGTGATGACCTCTTCAGTTATGAGAGCAGCTGTGAGGTTATAAGCACTTCAGCAAGTCCCTGTTTAGGGTACAGACACTTTTATGGCAAGATGGATGTGGCCATCAAAGCCCATTTTGTTACCTGCCGGGCAGACATTGAGCCCAGGCCCCCACACCCAATGTGCTTGCTGTGACCACGCCACGGGGCGGGCACAATACCTCTCCCACTGCCTCCCCTAAAAAGCCCCCAATCTGCCACAGTATTCTTCCTTCTCCCTCTGCTGTCCATCGTCTGGCTATAAAATCAAAAAGAAGACACCAAGATCTCAGTCATTTGGAAGCCACAAAATGGGATGACCATGTTGGCTGTCCTCTGAGAGAGAGAAGTAATAAAGGGTTATTGTGTTAAAGCCACTGAGATCTTAGGATCTATTCTAGCAGGCAGCTTCCTCACCCTGCTCGAGAAATGGTCTTTGCAATCAGGGTAAATAAAATGTTATTATTATTTGTTTGTTTGTTTGTTTTTTGAGACAGGGTCTCACTGTATAGCCTAGGCTGTCCTTGAACTCATGAAGATTCTCCTGCCTCAGCCTCCTGTGTGCTGGGATTACAACCATGCAACATCACATCTGGCAAAATTATTAATAGGACTGAGTGCATAAAACTATCCCATTTATAAGCCAAGTTGGGGTTGCATTGGGGTCTCAGAACCTACCCTTTTCTTATTGCTGTAGCGTACAATAGGAAAAGAACTAGTTGATCTTCTATCAGCCATTGTGCTGTTATTATGTCCAACTGGTTTATCTGTACTTAAATGAAATTAACAGATATTTGAATTCAAAAGGCCAGCTGTTTTAATGATATAATTTTTTTCTCAAGTTTTACTTCTTATGTTAGGAACATAAGAAATTTTTCTCATGTTTTCAACCACAGTAAAATTAACAGAATTTCTGGTCTTCTTAAGCCTTTAGCTTATTTGAAGGCATTTGAATACTCAATTTAAAGGAATATTTAGTTTATCTTAAGAGCAATCCAACAACACTTTCACTAATGTAGTTTATGTATGTACATAATATTTTATGTCCCATAAAAATGTCCAAGTAGGCCTGGCATCTTGGGGTGGAGGGATGGCAGCAAGTGAAATCATACAAAATCGTGAATTTGTTTTTTTATTTTTTGGTACCAAGGATCGAACTCAGGACTTTGCACTTGAGCGGCAGGCATGGTGTCACTGAGCTAAATCCCCGGCCCTAAAATTGTGAATTTTTAAATTATAGTAGTCATTATAAGACTATTCTGTGACAAAGTAGTAACAGAATGAGAATTTTATGAACAAATGTGGTTTAAAATAATTTTAAGCTATGATAAGAGAAAAAAACCCCAAAATTTTGATAAGAAATCTCAGTGGTTGGATTTGGACGCCTTTTGGAACACAAATTGGGAGCTACTTATGAAATAAGAGTAATTTGTTCTGGGCCCACAACGCAAAATGGCTTCAAACGTTTTTCAAGTAGGTCATCTGAGTGCTGTCAATATGCCTGGTGTCTGGTGACTTTCTTAAGCGAGTTAATTTGATGGCCTGTGCCCCAAAAGCTTTCGGGGGGGTCTCTGACTGTATCAAAAGCAGCTGAACTAGATCATCAAGGAGCTCTCATGGGACAGTTTGTTTAATTGAAATGATTTAAATTACCATGTATATAGCATGAGAAAAGCATTATTTTCTTTAGCTGCACCATTTCTGTTAGTCCCAAATAAAAAGTTCCAATATCGAAGGATGATACAATAAATAAATTATAAAATATGTTAAAAAGTAGGTCACAAGGAGGAATTTAAATGAAAGAGTTGATCTAAAATAGCAGGATTTTGCTCTAAACATCACTCTTAGGCATCAATAGCCCACACTGACCCTACAAGCCCGAGGAAATATAAACTGGAAGTGGCCTCATCTCCACAGACAGCAGCGGGGGTACAGCTTGGTGCTACAGTGACTTCAGCCCTGGGTCTCACTGCCAGCACCACTGAAAAGAAAACAAATGAAAGGTTCACAAATGTTCTGTCTCCATAGATAACGCGGTGCTCACCCAGGGGCACTGTGGGCTGTGGGAGACGCAGTCCACCACCAAGCTTCTCCTTGACGACTTGATTACTGAAGGTGAGTTTATTTTGATGTAAAAAGAACCCATCTATCCTCGGGTGGGCACGATGCCTGGAGTACCTGGCAGCTCACCTTTCCATGGGAGGAACTGGCTGTCTGACGGGAATTTCAGGGTGAAATTTCCCGTTCAGGTGAAATGTGCTGGATCTCTACTGACCTGCTTTCCTCTGTAAGAAGTGCTGAAAGTGTCCTAAGATTTGTGTCCCCAACTCAGCGCGTCTCCATATTACAGTGAGATGTGAAAGGGAAGGCCCGAATCTTCTAACGTCAGGTGCCTCGGGGCATGGCGCCTTAAAATACTCACTCCGACTCCAGAGGAAAAGCCAGGCTGGACTCCGAGGCCCGAGCTGGGATTTAGGACTCAGATGCGGAATGTCAGCAGAAGAGATTTTCTTTGCCTTTTGAGTGATAAAGGAGTTTGAGCTAGTTCTTTTGCTTTGTGCAAGGGGACAGTTACAACGAGAAAATTTTCCTTCAGTGGGCTAGGGTAGGTGGACCCAATATATCCGAAGGGTTTTTTGGCTTTTCTGTAATTTTTGTGTGGTGATAATTTTGCTGGCCTTCTGCCTCCCTGATCAAGCATTTAGATGCTGTTCTGCTAATAATCAGGCCAGGATGAAGTCTGAGAGCTCCCTCCTCTCTGCCGAGGAGAGGCTACGGCAGGGAGAGTAGGGCCTGGGATCTTTGTTTCATCCGTTTCCCTTTACCTCTGTGAATCTGTGTGTGACACATACATTATCGGACAAGCTCTCTTTTACGGACCCTGGAGAAACTCCTTGCAGAGACAAAGCATTAGTGCACTAATAGATTATGTCAGCTCTTTTTCTACTGTGTTGTAAACTAGAAAGTTGAATTTTGCAGCTTGAAAAAAAATGGAAACTTGAATGTTTTGATCGTTAGTCCCTTGAGTTCTGTACTTGTTCAGAGTTTTATTTTCCCACTCCTGATCTGGTCTGAAGTTCTTTGTCTGCAATTTAATCTCCACTGCTTTAATCATTTTGGATTATACCGATGGCTTCTCAGGAATAAAAGAAATGGGGAGCCGGTCTTGGCATGGGAGAGGTCTCTTCGGTGGCGTAAGACATTGCAGATGAGCTGCCTGCCCACAAAAGGGCCCACTGTCAGATTAAATTAATGAGCTGCATGTTTTAATCATGACGGTAATAGCAATATGTGGGTTCTTTGCCTCTGTTTTAATCATTTCTATGTTTTTACCAGCCAGATCATCAAATGCCTTCTTTTGAGATCTTTCCATTCCGTGGGGTCTCAGTGGGGCAGAAATCAGTGCTCAGAGTCATAAGAAACCCTAAATAGCTTCAGGATTTAGTGAAATTTATAGCTGTATCTTTGTCCCTCCATGCAGGAATTCGGAGGGACAGGTCTGCGGCCACCATCAGCAGATGCAAGCAGCATGACTTCCGGTTTGCAGAGTTGAGCTGCAGTGGGTCCAGCTGGGGTCTCAGTGGCTGAAGTGGAAATGTGTTATTTTGTGGACCAGGGGCAGCACTGAGAGCAGGTGGATTGAAAGACATTCTGCTGGCCAAGCCTCCTCTGGAAGTGGCTGCACCAATGCCCGGGTCCCGGGCAATGTCAGTGTGGCCAACGCAGCCACTGTGCCGCGCTGTCCCCAGGAGTCCACGGTGAGGTGCCAGCAGAGCAGTGAGACTCGGACAGCTGCATTCTCTGAGACCAATGACAGAGCGTTTCAGCTCCTTGTCCACCTCTCCACGCCATGCGAGCTGTGCCTGAGTAGGGCCTGCAGTACAGGTCCAGGAGAAAAGGCAGATTTGCTCGTGACACTGTTGGGGGGATTTTTCACTGAACCCCAGAATAGGAGTAACTGTGTTTCAAGCTCCGTGGCAGCTATCCAGTGGTTCCTGCGCATTTCATTCGCTCCAGATCTGTAGCTCACACAGCTCCTCCCGGTGTGCTGTCAATGTCCTCAGAAGGGCAGGTCCGGAAGGGCAGGCCCTGCAGGGCAGGGCCTGTGACAGGGTCCTCTGTGGGTCCTGTCTTCCTTTGAGGTTGATGCTCCACAAAAGGGTGCAGAACATAGCTGGGTGTGGTGGAGCCAGCCTGTAATCCCAGCACCACCGAGGTTGAGGCAAGAGGATTTCTGGGAGTTCGAGGCCAGCCTGGACTCTATAGCGAGACCCTCTCTCGACCCCTCCCCAAAAGAGTGTAGAAGAGAAATCTCAGTGTCAGCTAAGCAGAGAGAATTTCTGCTTTCCTTTCTAGGAAGTGGGGCAGGGGAATGAGACCCAAGAGTGGGAGTGGGGTTTAGAAATGAACAATTATGGATGAGGCGCCGTGAGCCCTCTCACCCTGTGGAGTGTACTTCTTGTCCTTCCTTTAGTAAATGTAAACCCCCTCTACCTTTAACAAAATTATAGATGGGAAGAGTTCTCAGAGATTGTGCAGTTCAATGCCTTCATTTTATAGATGAGAACAATGACCTCCAGAGAGGTCAAGGACTTTTTAAGGTCACTTGGGTGGCAGAGCCAGGGTAGAGACAACCTTGGAACTAGAACGTACTGGGATGGCTAAAGGCTGGGTGCTGCGCTAGGCTTGTGTGGCGCAATGTGACACTGCCAGGCTAGTGGAGGCCGAAACGTGACACGAGAGACTGAGACTGAGCCTCCAACTACACTGCACTGTGATTAGAAAACTGAAGGAAACTGGGGGTGACGGTGCACACCTACAATCCCAGCTACTGGGGAGGCTGAGGCAGGAGGATCTCAGGTTCAAAGCTAGCCTGGGAAGCTTAGCAAGACAAATGTATTGCTTGGTAGAAAAACCATTTATCATTAAATATGGTGTCTGGGTTGAGATGTGCAGTGAGTGTAAACCACACAATAGACTCTGAGGACTTGCGATTAAAAAATGTAAAATGTCAAAGTTAATTTCTGTGTTGATTACATGTTGAAATTCTTTCTGGGCTACAGAGGGTTAAGTAAAATATGATGTTAGAATGACACTCACCTGTTTCTTTTTACCATTCTTAGCATGGCTACTAGAGAGTGTCCGTGGCACATGTGACCTGCGTGGTTTCTAGGGAAGCAGTGCTGGACTGGACAGCTGAGATGCAATGGTCATTGAATCCTCCACAGCTCACCTCTACTTCACTTTCTCCAACCCACAGATGAGGAAACAGACGGAGAAAGCTGGACCGCAAGGAAATGGCAGATCTGAGGGGCCTCCCGGGCTGGCCAGCTTAGAAGCTGTGGTCTTTCTGGCAACAGCTGGCTCTGCAGACAACCTCGCATTTGAGTCCTGCACTTCAGGTTTGTGAAGCCAAGTTACAGATCCCAACACGGGATCCACCTTAGGAAATGGGAGGATGCTTGTGGCTGACCGCTGAAATATTTCAAGTGGCTGACCTTTGAGATTTTACACTCTATTCTACACGGGTCTTAATTCAAAAAATTCTGAAACTAAACACATAGAATTAATCCATTTGGGGATATTTTATATTTTTATTTGCTTTCATTTTCAGTGCTTTTTAAAAAAGTTGTGTTCTGATTAAAATTACATGCACTGTTTATCTTTTCAAAAACTGATTCATTAATTTTTCTATGAAAAGAGGATCATGCGTTTGGTAAGGACTAACATTAGTTTGGAAGGAAGACATTTGGAAAATATTAAACAAGTAAATAAGGACTGCATTTTAAAATTTGCTTTGTCCTTGTTTCCCATACAGATCTGCTTTTGTCTGGACAGAAAGGCAAAGCGGTGGGCAGCTCCGGGCAGCGGGCGCTTCCTTCTCCGGGCCACCGGCTGCCGTGTGCTGATTCCGACGCAGTTCTGCTCTGAGCGCTGACACTGGCCACAAGGAGAGGCCTAAGATGCACAAAGGCCTAAGACACAGAGTTCAGACACTTGACCTCATGCACACCCGCTTGGCAGGGCAGCAGCGCATTTCCCTAAAGACTGAATTCCCCTCCCTCCTGCGTAGAAAGGAGCTCGGGTCTTCCCAGCTGCAAGAGGAGGTGCCGAACTTCGCTGCAATTGCATTGACCCTCGATAGAGGGCGCCAAAGGACGGGGAAGTAATTATCAATGGCTTTGGCTTATTTTTAAAGCTCAATTACTGATTTTTTTTATTATTAACCTTCGAAAAGCCATCTTTTCACCTGGGAAAGGAAGGCATCAGTCCTCTGACTGTGTAATGCCATTTCTGCCAAGGGCATAGCCTGAAGCTAGGGTTAGGTGTAGGGTGGTCCCCAAGTGGAGGAAAATCTCCCAATCCTACTCTTTTCTTTTTTCCCACCAGAGAAGAGGGTCCCTGTCCCCCTGCCGCCCCCCCCCCCCCGGAGAACTCTGCCCAGCAGCTGCTTCACCTGCCCCGGCCTTTTTAATTACCAGCGAATGAAGTTTCTTCCCCGGGAAAGAAATCGACACAGCAACTATTCGGGCTTTGCCTGTGATAGGCGCAGTACTACTTTCTGGGGAACCCGGGCACCAAAATAGGCCTGGCAGCCTGCAGGGGGCAACAGCAAGCTGACCCTCAGCCCGGGACTGGCAGCCCAGGAGCAGGGAGAGGCTGGGGTTCCGAGTCACGGACCGTGCCAGGGCTGAGTGCAGTCTTCAGACAGCTCTCTCCAGCCGCGCTGTGGGCCGGACACAGCGTTCCAGGGACAGTCTCTCTCGGTAAGGGTGACTTCCACACTTCCAGCTTGCAAAGGGCTTAAATTCGCAAGCTCAGGGCGCACGTTTAGGAAGTGTCACCTTCCTGGCGTGAGGTGGAACCCGGGCATTTACACGTTAGGCAGCAACTTGTCGGACAATCGCACTGGCCTTGGCATCAGATCTGCAAACCTCTCTCTCACTAAGGGACCATCGGAAGAAGAGCTGAGCACGAGCGATGGCCTCATGACAGGACATGCGAACGGAGGCCGACACCAGTGTTACAGATGGATCTGCGCAGAGAAAACTGCAGCGTAAGCAAACCATTCACTGTCGTGCTGGGGACACGAGCGGGGTTTGAAGTCCCCACGTTACTGTGTTGTTTGAAAAATTTTAAAGTAAGCCTTAATTGGTCTTCTAATTAGCAAAACATAAAGTCACTGTCGTTTCCAATACAAAGCTTTTCAGCTGGGAAATTTGAAGGTCTTGCTGCAGCCACGGTAATCTCACCTCCTTAAGTCTGCCTGCTGGAGCTCACAGAGCTTGCTATTTGGGGACCTCCCAGCCCCAGAGAGCACACATTTCTCTCTCGGCAGCTCATTAGAGATGCTCAGAAAATCAACTCAAGGACAGCTACAGAAGCCCTTACCAGAAACCCCCTTTGATCTTTTCAGTAGCAACTGTGTCACGTGTAGCCCAATGGTCCAGTTCTTCTTTGAGGCTAAAATAGGGCCACTCCTCCCTCCAGCCACCTGGAGATCCCGCTAGCGACCAGCCTCGAGTCCGACTGATGCCTCTGCTCTGCCTCATCCCGTATCATTTCCACTTGCTTGGTAAATAATGAGCCTGCTGCCTTTGGCTGTCCAAAGGGTTATAAATATTTGAAGGGCTGCAAGTATTTGAAACCAGCTCCATTTGATTTCGCCTTTGCCTGCAATGCTCAGGGTGGAAACCTGGCTCCGGGTGAGAGGCACGTTGGCGCCAGGCTGCTGTGTAGGTTCCGGGCAGCCGGAGGGCACACCTGTCCGGCTGGAGCACACACCTGTCGGTCTTTCTCACCACCAAAAGACCCACTTCCTAAAGACATTTACAAACTTGTAGGAATTCTTTTTAAAAACAGACTTTATCTTTTGGGGTAGTTTTGAGATTGTAGTAAAATAAAGCAGCATGCAGAGTCCTTTTCTCTTCTTCCCCCTCTTCCTCTTCCTCTTTCTCCTCCTCCTCTCTCGCTCTCTTTCTCCTCCTCCTTCTTTTTCTCTGGTACTGGAGATTGATCACAAGGCTACATCCCCAACTCATTTTATTTATTTTTAAAATTTTAAGACAGGGTCTGGCTAAATTGCCCAGGCGGGGCTTGACCTTTTGATCCTCCTGCCTCAGCCTCCCACTGTTGGGGTCACAGGCGTGTGCCACCACACTCAGCTTTTGAAGAATTTTAGGAAAACCAACTTTTAAGTGTGTCAGTGTGTTACTGTAGCCAGTCTGAGTTGACCTTCCTGTAGGCAGTGGTCCTGACAGGACATGATGCTTCAGGGTCCTTCAGCAGTCTTCCTCCAAGGAACCCAGATCCGGAATACAGAGATCTTTTCCAAACATTTTTTTTTTTGTCATGGAAAAAGTTATGTATCTTAACAGCTTATTATACACATGTGATCTCTCAGTGATGTGTGTGTGTGCTCAGCACCTTGTATTTACCGGTTTCTTAGATGAACACACACTGCTTTGATATGTGGAACCACCCAGCCAGCCCAAAGCTGGCAGCTGGAGCAAGCTGGCCCCTGTGCCCACCCTGCTGCCGTGGCCTGCCGCTCAGCACAGGCAGAGCAGCAGAGACCCGGAGGCCTCTTTCTCTTCTGTGCCACGGGAGTCCCCAGGCCTGTCCAGATGTGAATGTGCCGCACGTGGCCTTGAGGGAACAGAAATCATTGAGAGTATCATGGCTTTCTCTCTCCTCTAAGCTGAGTGGAATCCAGCCAACACCATGGGGGCCAGAGTCCAGTCCTCTGTCGGTTGTGCTGGCCAAAGCCTGTGGCCTCCCACCGCTCCCAGCAGACAGTGATTCGAGTCAGAGGAACCAGCACACCACTCATGGGCAGACTCAACAGCGGGTAGAAAGTGAAAATGCTTTTTCTTGGAGCATTTTTTCTTGGTATCTATTGGGCCCAGGCTTGGGGCAGACAGGTCAGGACGCGCTAGAGAATTTCCAGTAACACAGCCAAGCAGATGTACTTTTCCAAAGCCTAACCCTCTCCCAAAACCTGGGAGGAAAACAAGCCCCAAACCAAGACCCTCGCACCAGCTCACTTCTCTGCACACCACATAAAATCCAGCTGCTCGTCATGGAGATGTGTGGGTGTTGATGCTGCGGGCCCCGTGGAAAGGCAGGGTTAACTTCTCAGAGACAGGCGGCCTTCTTACCAAATACCAAGGACCCACTATAATTAGTCACCACAGGTGCACTGCTACTTGCTTCCTTTTCCTTAGAGACATAGATATTACCCAGGGAATAAGAATGACAGGATGGGAAAAAATAGAAAACGTGCAAGGAAATCACTGTATAAATAGGCAAATACAGCAAAGTTCTGCATCAGAATGATAAAAATAGATGCATATCTTGATTTTTTTGCCAGGTTTTATGGATGTATAAACACCTCTAGTTTTATTCACGGTGGCGTTAGGATTTACGTAGCATGATCCATGAAAGCACTTCAGATAACAAACACTCCATTTCCTGGGTAAACCATGGCTGCTATGATAACAATGCTGCAGAAATGGGAAGAATGTGGGTGAGCCGGGGAAATGGGGAGGCGGTGTAGGCAGACCCTCTGCTGTGGCCCAGGAGGGGCTGGCCAGGCAGAGGCCCCGGCGAACACGGGGCCCAGTCGCCTGGGTCTCAGGCAGCATTTTTATCTGGAGTTTTGGGCAGAATGGAGAGAGCTCGGGAAAAGTCCTGAGCTCTGGGATGAGAACCCTGCCCTGGGCTCCTGGCTTGCTAGGTGGCTCAGGATGAGCTCTTTACCCTCCAGGAGCTTTGATTTCCTCACTCATGAAATGAGGCTGTTAACGCCTTCCTGCTGGCCATTGTGACCTCGGGAAAAGAACAGCATGAACGCACATCCGAGGCATGTGCTTCCCACGTCACTTCGCCCCCTCCCTTCTCAGGGGCCCCCATGGGGCCTGGAGGTGGACTCTGGTCTCTTCTGTCTTGTATTCCGTTCCCTCTCTCTTCTCTTCCTTGAAGTTCCTAATAAAAGTGGGATTATGTAGCCTTCTAGGACAAGTTGGATCACTTACAACTCTCTCCCCCAAATAAACCCTCAGTCACCTCTGGAGAAGAAATACTTTCCTAATTGCGGGACAAAATTCACCATGCAACTCTCAGGGGTTTGATTTCTCCACCTCCATCAGAGCAGGAAGGAGAAAGAGCTTGAAGGAGGTTGTCTTGATCTTCTTTAGGGTAAACTGGGAATGAATGGTGGGTTTGTCACTCAGACTAGATCCTGGTTATGTTAGTTTGGTGTTTTTGTTTTTTTCTGTGACAAAATACCTGAGATAACTTGAGGGAGGAAAGGTTTATTATCTTGGCTCACGGTTTTAGAAGGTTCAGTCCATGGTTGGCTGGCTCCATCACCTTTAGTCCCATGATGAGGCAGAAACATCATGGTGGAAGGGCATGGTAGATGAAGGTGCTCAGCTCATGGTAGCCAGGAAGCAGAATGAGTGAGAGAGCCAGGGTTAAGATGGACTTGTTCAGGTCACACTTCAAGGGAGCTACCTCCTCCCATCTGACAGCCGTTCAGCTATGAACTCATCAGTGAGTGAATCCATTGATGAGACCAGCACTGTCATGATCCAGTCATCTCTAGTCCCACCCATGAACATTTGCTGTGTTGGGACCCAGCCCTCAATGCATAAGATCTGGAGAGGTCATTTCAGATTCAAACCATACCCCTGCTTGTCCCAGTGACCGAGTGTCATATGGATTCTGCCTCTGCCTCCAAACCACCAGCTGTGTCTCTCTGAGTTGGGACAGTGCACACCCCTCCACGTTGCTTTGCTCTTGTGCCACCATGGGTGTCCGAGAGTCTTAGTATCTTGGGGGATGGATGTTTTATGCCTTTCAGTGCACCAGCCACCTACCTGGGCACCAGGAAGGACTGGATAAATCCTGAAAGGAAAAGGGAGCGAAATGGTATTTTTTACTTCTTGAAACCTATGTTCTCCTTTGATCAACAACCCCCACCTCCCAGAATGTGACTTTCTCCAAACAGGTGCCGCCCTACAGATAATGAACTTTATTTTCTGCCCATCCCACTGGTGAAAACTTGGTAGAGCTTCCCTTTTTCTAGTCTCCCTCTAGTTTACACTTAAAAATACCACCAGATGCACTGGCTCTCCCACCCAAGGCTGGGCTATCAATCACAGGTCCCCCAGGGCATGGCTACATTTACATCAGAGCCCCAGAAAGGCAGGGGCCTGCCCTGCAGAAGACGTGTGAGGTACCGAGTGAGAACTTCTGATAATGACACAAAGGACAGCTTTGCAAAAGCTTTCCTGCTCCGCCATCACTGGTCACATTCAGATGTTCAAAACTGCATCTCTGTCCAGACCTCCCAGGGAGGGTCCCAGTGGCCCGTGTGAGATGGTATTCTTCAGCTTTTCTTCCTGAAATATCTTTCCAGTGTATTCTCTTTCATGCGTTTTTGAAGTTAAAAAAAAAAAGAACTGTACCCACTACCAAAAGTTTTCCTGACTTGAGCATTCAGTTTTGATGAAGAGCAAGTGGCTGTAACTCATTTTGTGGAGTGCTTTCAGCTTGAGCTTTGGGAGTGTAGGAGCCAGACATGTGGCACACAGTAGCCGACGCCTGCCTGTGGGCACAGATGCAAAGCCAAGCCCGTGGCTGGTGACTTCCCAGCACCCGGACACGCGGCCTTCCCTTTCCTTTGGGATGGACGTGCTTCCCTCTGGGATGAAGGTTTCGCCCCTCCTGTTGGGCTGAGGGGCACTTTGATGGGAAAGGGGGTCGCACTCAGCAACGGATGCAGGCAGCAGCATGGGAATGGGAGGAGCCTCCGGCACAGGAAAAGGCATTGTCCCGGGCAGGGGTCACTCTGCCCCTCTCTGCCGTCAGGGCCGTCTGCTGGATTTCCTCCCCCAGGCTGGCGAAGTTGGAAGGAGGTCCTTTGTTAACAAGGTCAAGAACAAGGCTGCCCATTTTGTGAGCTGGTCACGGGTGAACGTTCAGATTTTGTGAAATATCACCTAGAAAAAAACAACTAATCATCTAAGCAGCTTCATCTAGGCTTCATCTAAGCAGCGCCAAGGGCTAGGAAGTGAAAGCTCTGACCAATTGGAGCAACATCAAATTATTCTGTTGGGTTGGTTTTCCAAGGAAATACCTTGCTGGCCAACAGTGTGGGCATTCCGTGGAACCAGGAGACTGAAATCCTGCCGCAGCCGGGTTCCTTGCAACCAGGATTTGGCTAAAATAAGAAGCACTTTATTTTCAGTTTCATATCACAAGTCTTCAGGTTGGATGTGCTACAAAGACAGAGCGATGCCTTGAACTGGAAGGACCCGGAGCTTGTTTTCGGGTGGCGATGGCAGTGTCCTCTGTTGGTCTCATTTCCCCAGGAACTTTCTCAGGGTGTGCCAGGCCACGCTGCCAGCTCCCTGGGAGCCCTGGTGCAGAATCTCCAGCCACACCCTGTCAGCTGGGAGCAGGGTGGGACAGAAGAGGTTGGGGGCTCTGCCTGGCTCAGCCCCAAGGTCCCTGGCCATGTTCTCATTTTACTTAGCACTGAAAGCTCAACGTGCTTGAGAATGTTTTGTCTTAATTTTTATATCAGTCCATAGGGTAGAACAACTTCAATATTAGATTTCCCTTTTTTAAGACAGGGTCTCAGTATGTATTCCAGAGTGGCCTTGAACTCCCAGAAGTCCTCCCTTCTCAGCCTCCCGAGTGCTGGGACTACAAGCATGTGTACCACCACACCTTGCTTGATTTACCTTAGAGATTGATAGGCTGGTGATCAAAGCAGCCTACGGGACCTGTCCAGCATCACCCAAAAAATAAGCCTGAGGCTTGTTTTTAAGGGTTAGGCTGCTCACTGTGCCTTCGATGCAGTGGCTGCAATGTCACTGGGGAACCGGCCTCCGCTCCCAGAAGCCAAGGGGATAATTCTCTTCTCCAGGACCCTCTCGTCCCAGGGCCCAGCAAGGCCCAGCCAGCCTCACCCCAGCTCACCAGCTTGGTCGGAACCGGCGGGTCTCAGCCCAGGCTGGGCTCAGCTCCTTACACACAACGGCCCAGGAGGGT